CATTAGCAGTCCAGGCGTTGAACGTCGAAGATACAAACGCGTCACAGGTTTTTTTTCTCCCCTCGGCAACTGATCATTATTACAAATGATAAGCTAGTCTTGACGTTGATCTACGAAGTGAATTGTGCGCTAGTCTGTGGAATCAAAAGTTGCCGTATGCTAGGCTCTACACAGCAACACAACTTTTTGGTAAACAATGGAGATGACAGAGGCGTGTGCATTTTAACGAATCGGTCTTTTTTTCACACAGCTCATAGTATGCAGGCATTTCAGGCACTACTTGTGACTTCTCTTTATACATTACTTGCTCAGTACCTGTAATTATCAACACAAAACCTCGTGTTCGCCATAACGAACACTCGGATTCAACGAGATTTTAGGTCAGGCCCGGCGACATCGTTGAATCCGAGTTCCACTGTAGTGGCTTTCCTTGGTCTGTGAGTCTAATTTTTTAAATATATTTTAGGCTCAGGAGAAGAAAAAGAAAAAACCTTCCGGAACCGGGATTCGATGCCACGCTTGGAAGCACTGAACATTAGACTTAGAGAACGTAGACAGTAGACAGCTTGTATTTGTATACGTTCTCTAGGCCTAACTTAAAGTTCGAGTTGCACCGTCTTATTATTGTTGTCCAAGCGTCTTTCGACTTAAACTTGCTCAAACTCTAACTCAAATGATTATGATTATGAGAGATGAACAAGACGTCTACTTTTGTGCAAACAATGTCAGAAACGATTGTTAGATCTAATCTAGAGTCTAGATCTAGAGTAAAGTCAGGTGTGCGTCCACCTTAAGGCCTTTAGAAACCCATAACTTGGCTATTTTCGTATCGATCCAAATTTTGAAAGTATCGGCGTGACCGGCAGAATTGGACGCATCACCAGACTTAGTTATCATCTCTGTATGTTTAATAGACTTCATTCTACCTTGCATTTTAATACGTCCACTTTGGTCTGGTGACGCATCCACTTTGCTGGTGAATGCATCCACTAGGTCTGGTCAGTGCCACCACCCCCTAATTCTGTTCACCCAGTCTGTCATTCTTCATCCTATTATTATCCACTCACTCATTCTTCATTATGTAAAAATAAAAATGAATAAAACCTTTAGATCTATGTTAAGATATATTTCATTTATTAACATAGTTACATTGACATTAGATAAAGTAACAAAAAAACATTTACATGTAAACTCTATTTATTAATTTACAACCAAATATCTTTATAGTTATGTAGATTTATTTAAGATTTTAGTTTGTAATGTTCAGTAATTTAAATGCAAGTAAATTTACGTATTCAAAATACGTGGATGGATGGTAAGTACAAGGGAGTTATGAAATAGTGGGCATGAAAACATCACAAATAAAAGTCACTGCTCCTAGCTCTTCGACCTGTCTTTCCACTCAAATCTTCCTTTCTGATGCATGTTGCACGCCTCCAGCTATCACATAATTCACATTGTACCTACAGTCACAGTCCTTGTCCATGGCTCCGACACCCTCTACATCTGCTGTCCATCATCTCATGTATTTCATCATCCACCTCACTCTCATCTTCTATCAGAATATCTTCATCTCTACCACTTTCACTGTCACTTTCTACATTCACTCTTTTCTTCTCCTACCTTTCAACAGCTTTTTCAGAGCAGCTTCTTCCCGCTTTCTTTTCTTATTTTCAGCTTCCTCATGTTTCTTCTTTTTTCTCACCTTCTCTTCTGCCTTCTTCTCTTCACTTTCCTTCTTATTCTCTTTCACCTGAAGCGCTTCCACTTTCTTCAGCTTCTTTTTTTTCTTAACATCTCATTATATATAATATTCATTGCCATTAAGGGCCATATAGACATGAAAGACTTTTGTTTGGGTTTTTTTAATGTTACAAAAAAAAATGTAGACAATCTAAATCTAGATCTCTACTTCTAATGATGATGGGATTTAAAAAACCACAATTTTCACAAAAATAAACATTTGATTGGTAATATTAGACCTAATAGATGTCTACACGTGGCTGAGTGAATGACATTTATTCGTTTTTATAGTACCGGTACGTGCACGCATTCACCATATTGAATCTACTCAGTTGGTGAGTGCCATCACCCATGGATGCATGACCAGACTATACTAAAAACCTGGTATGGTGAGCGAGCGCGTCCACTCCCTCGTGGGTCAAATTTCCATTGTTGAATGGCACAATGGACACAATTGTATTTAAAACCTTTGTAAAGGGTAATAAAAGCAAGTAAGGGCGCTTGGAGTTCATTAGTTGCCAAGCAACCGACCAGCAAATAAGCGTCTCCGCTAGTGTAACTCGCTAATGAAGAAGACACATTTTTAATTACCAGAAAATGGCGACTTCCAGAGTGTAAAAAACGAAAGTAAAGTACGAAATGAAATGGAAACTGCTTACTTTACCTGCGGCTAGCTCAAGAGGTTTAGAACTGTAAACTCCTTGGGTTAGCTGCAGCCCGTCAGCCACGCGCTAGTGGTGAATATTGTGTTAGGTCTATGATTCCAGTTTTAGCAGTTCGGAAACTTCTGAAACAGTGCTGTAAATATATGAAGCTTAATCAAGGAGTTTAGAACTAACTTACTTTTAATCTCCTTGAGCTTAATCTACCTTTGTCAGGAAGGAGTTGTGGTGAACGAGCGTGGGATCGTCTCTCGGTCTGGGAAGAATTTTTTTTTTCTGTCCCCCTCCTTTCTTCTCCTCCTCCCGACTGACCAACAATTTTCCCCATAATTATAATTCGTTGTTTTTTTTATGTAGTGATTAAGCACGCACATTATTCTGGTTTTGCCCCCAAGAGGAGCTTAACTTTTACTCATGAGTCATTTAGCTCTTTTCGACCATCGCTTCATCTAGCAATTTCATAGGCTAAGTGTTCCGTTGCAGCCTATGCCTCACGTCTGCAAATAATTCATTAGATTGATAAGTGATATATTATTATAGTACTCTGAAGATGAATTGAAACTCTCTCTCTCTCTCTCTCTCTCTCTCTCTCTCTCTCTCTCTCTCTCTCTCTCTCTCTCCCTTTCTCTCTCTCTCTCTCTCTCTCTCTCTCTCTCTCTCTCTCTCTCTCTCTCTCTCTTTAATTACACTGTCGGAATCGATCCAACACCGATGAATGTACGAAATACAGCGAGTGGACGCATAGACCAGATGGACGCGACACCCGACTTTACTCTAGAGATCTAGATTTTTCTAGATATAATAGATCTACCCATGTTGATCGGAATAAGACAACGTCATAAAAAAAAGGAGTCAAATCCTAGGAGGTTTAGAATCCATTAAAAAACCTGAGAAAGCTTCCACAATTCAGGCAGAACTACAATACATGTATTATCACGTAGAAACGATGGCTACTAGATTCTACATCTCTCTTTCTCTCTCTCTCTCTCTCTCTCTCTCTCTCTCTCTCTCTCTCTCTCTCTCTCTCTCTCTCTTACACACACATCTTCACTATTTGGAAATGCATTTTGTGAAAGAAATGTTTGTATAAAAGCTAATCCCCCGCCTCCCCTCCCCCCTCGCACACACACCCCAGCCTCCTTTGTCTCGTCCCCCTCCATCAAGTGCTGGGTGTTGTCAACATAACATTTTTATTTTTCTGATTTACCGGGTAGTTAAAAATGAAGGTAAGATGAATAAACCAATGACAGAAATTAAAATAAATTGTAATGTAGCTTACCTTTTTTTCTTACTACAACGGAGTCTATGGGATTTAGCTCTAGCAAAACTGTCAATTATTGGTTCGTAGTCCAATTTTCGCGCTAGACTGGTCTCTATGTCCAAAATTCCAAGACTTGTGAGTCTGTCTTGACACATTGTGGGCCGCAAAATGTTTTT